CCCCCCCCCCTCCCCCCCCCCCAGTGAATCCATCCCTTGATGTAAGAGGCAACATGACAAGGAAAACGTTGTCTTTTAATATTTAAATTCTACCTTTGTATAAATGTTATCTATTGTATCTTTCCAGAACTGTATCTTCATTTTGCCAATCGTTTCCACAGTGGTGGAGTCACGTATCTGAAAACGATGAAATTCATATTTATTAATCGCTCACTGCCAAACAGTGCCTACAATAATAATAACATTTCATTAACCCTTTAAGTGGCAATGCACGCTCAATAATTGGTATGATCCGTCAAAGTCACCCTGATGCACCCTATACTTCAGTATTTTACGCTGTCTAACGCCAGAGTATTTTACTCGTCAAGTGGAGAGTCCTGCCACTCAATGGGCAAGCAAACTGCCCATGCATCCCCTTAACCCTTTAAGTGGCAATGCATGCACCCTGACGTGCCCTACTTTAGTATTTTACTCTGTCTAATGGTAGGTGATTTTATTTGTCAAGTGGAGAGTGCTACCACTCAGTGGGTTAACCATACAAACTGCCCATGCATCCCCTTAACCCTTTAAGTGGCAATGCATGCACCCTGATGCACATTACTTTTAATTAGTATTTTACTCTCTCTAACGCCAGACGATTTTACTTGTCAAGTGGAGAGTGCTGCCACTCAATGGGACTTAAAACAAACTGCCCATGCATCCCCTTAACCCTTAATGCATGCACCCTGATGCACCTTACTTTAGTATTTTACTCTTTCTAATGCCGGACAATTTTACTTGTCAAGTGGAGAGTGCTGCTACTCAATGATTTAACCAAACAGACTGCCCATGCATCGATCCTCTTAACCCTTTATGTGGCAATGCACCCTGATGCACCCTAGTTTAGTATTTTACCCTGTCTAACACCAGGCGATTTTACTCGTCAAGTGGAGAGTGCTGCCACTCAATGGGTTAATCAACAATACGTTCCGATCGGGTTTTGTCGATGCCGAGGACTTAATTAACGCTTGGTGGCTAATTTCAGATCCTGACCAAACACTTTCTGTAATTGGGTCAAGGGTTCTCAAGTCATACAACTCAAGTCTACAAATAGGCCACACTGTATTAGTTTGTATCGCCACTCACTTTTGCTATTTCAACGTTGAAAGCCCTGACTGCAAATATGGAGTGACGACTCTCCTTGTTGACCAACAGACAACAGAGATAATTTTCAAAATCATGTTGCCTAAAAATAATAAAATAAACACAATCTAGCTGCTTTAAAATCAACCCTCTGTAGCTCGGTCAGTTAGAGCGTTGCACCGTAATGGCAGCGCCTCGTTGAGGCAGTCCCATATAAATGTTTACAAGATATGAAATTTAATAGGAATTAATAACATGCAGGGAAGAGGATTTGGGCACTCTCCTCCGCAGAGTCTAAAATGAAAAAGTATTGTAGTGGTACATATGGATGATCATTTATTTCCTGATGATGACTATAATTTAGTCGAAACGTCGAAATAAAATTTTTCAAAATGGTACATATGGATATGGTAGAGAATTGTAGTGATAACATAGGGAAAGTAGAGGACATCAAGTGATGCACGACACGGGATGTGAGATGATATCTTATATATAATTATATCAGACCTCTCAACTCTCACGCATTCGGCGTGAGTCTCACGCAATTCGCTTCACTCTCACGCTCTCACGCCACGTTTAGTAAATCTCACGCATATAGCAGTTTCATAGTATTTTTTCAATAATATAATATTGTATTCTTAAATGCACATTATTAATCATTATACGGATCGCGAATCGAATATATAATCGTGTGTTATTGTTCCTGCATATACGGCCCGACATTTTGCCCACAATTTGGATACAAAATAATACGCATATGTAAATACGGCGGACAAAAGGCAGAATCAGTCGGAGCAGAATTCTATATGTAAATTATCAAAGGCAAATTAAAGCTCATTACTGTATGTCGCAGAAATACAGTTATTTACATAACTAAAGTGCCTTGTCTTATTAAAGGACGTTATGAAGCAATATGACGTATTTCATTAAAAAACATAATGGCCAACTCTCATAATGT